ATCCCAATCCTGGTCACTAAATCTTGTAAATGCATAATTGACCACAAGATTATTTTGTAAAGGTAAATAAGAAGTCGTTTGAAAATTCCTAGATGGATTAAATAATGCTTTGGTGCTATGGCTAGCGCTGTGAACATTGTGAACAGTATTGATTCACTGATATTTGAACATTGTACACAGTCATTATCACACTCAGGGTCTTCTGTAATACTATCATAGCTAAATAATACCAGTTACATATATATTTTGACATTATTAGGCGATGCTGTGGTCATAAGCTGAACAGCAGTGCTGTGAGCTCATGCTGCGTGTGCCAGCCTTGGTTGCTCACTCAGTACTGAGGCTCTCACATCTGGGAATGTTGCCCACGATTTAAAAAAAAATGGCATCTGTTTACAAGAGCCCTGAGGAAGCTGATGTGAACCCCATGTAGCTGCGGGAGTTTTGAATCATAGCTCTACCTATAAGATCCCTGAGGCGCGTTGCGCACCACCCTTCGAGCGCCTATCAGCGTGTTGCGCAGTGCAGTGCAGTAATTATGCACCATTATTGTTCCAGACCTCAATACAGGTGAAATAAGGAACTAAATTATGTGCAATAAACTAAATTCATAGCGTAGAATATATCACTAAAATTATTGCCAGGCTTTGGCAGAGTTTATCTTCCAATTTTGTGGAGTGTTATATCTGTAGTGTTAAAGCATAAATTAAATCCAACCAAATTGTGAATACGTTTCCTTAGAGTTTATTGACTAAATTTGTGGTGTTTAATTTCCTGAAAGGTCACTAATAAATTAATAACATTAAATTAAATAACAGTATATGAGACTACTGCTGCAAAATAAAACCAATAAGCCTGATGTTCAATGTAGCAATTGTAGGACATAGTCAAATACTTCTAGACAACTTGCTACTATACCAGAAGTTGAGGTAAGAATATTCAGGTCACCAGGAGCTATGGTTCATAATTTCTATAATAACTCAATTTTAACAGCAGGTCTTAATTGGTCTCATCAATTAACAATTATATTTCTAGGTGGCAATGATATACACCTATCATATAACCCGACTGAGAATATTAATAACCTTAGGAGTATAATTAACTCCTTTAAAGCAAACAGTTCAACTGTTGTGTTTACTCTTATAGAGCCACACTAAGCACCGGAAAATAACCGTTGGGGAGTGAGTACTGAGTTTATACGTACAGCTAAGAATATTAATACCATCTCAGAGAAGTATGTCTGGGGTGCCACCTACATCCACTTTATTGCTCATCCATTCCATGTGAACTTATCTCCAGACGAAGTACACCTCTCACGAGAATCTCAAGCATATGTGGCTAATAAAAAAATTAACACTTATCACAAGAGGTTGATGAGAGGCTTCTGATCATAAATGTATATATTTCTCTTAAGTGAGAGAAACATTTAACATAAAATAAAAACAAATGTAATATATTGCACCTTTGTCTCTATTACACAATATTATATTTAACTTATTAGTTGACAATATGCTTTAGGGTAGGATATTATTAGGCTAGTGTTGAACTAAACAATGTTCAACCTAGTCTCATTAAATTAAGTGTTCCAACCCGCATTACGGTAGGATATTAAAGTTGTCTAGTGTTGAACTAAATATTGAGCAACCTAACACCATTTAAATATTGTGAAGACCGTTATATATGGTGGTACCAATAACAGCACGAGTTGTGTTGTACATATAATCAATTTACTTACATTATATTATCATATACCATATTAATTTATATTTGCCTATAATCATTTCACCTTTAAGTGTTAATACATGTTGCTAAACCATCCAACGGTGATAAGGATGAGCTAACCTGAAGAACTCCTACAGTGACACTGATTACCTCAAGATATTGTGGATGATTATCTAAATTAAGCATGTAAATGTACCAAGCTCCACGGAGGGAGGATTATAGCCTAGTGATAGAAAATTTAACCCTAGGTTATTATTACTAATTATTGCTCACTAATATGAGCAATAATTAGTAATAATAATTGTTGGCCCCATAACCTCCACTTGGAGGTTATGGGGCCAACCGAACTCAACCATTCAGCCACCATGGCTGATCCATAGAAGACAAAACGTGCTTTAGCAGCACTTAAGGGTCACCTGACAAGACAACTCAGTAAATGTGAGAATTTGTTACAAGAGTCTCCACTTGATTATCACCTGCTTGAAATCTTCTTAAGTGTGATTGATAACAAATTCGATCAAGTGAAACGAATGATTGAATTTTACCAAAATGAATTCCCACAATTCCATGCCAGTGAAACAACAACTGACGATATGGAGCAAATCAAGTCTGACCTGGCCATGTATGAGGATGACATTCAAGCCAGCTTGGATCCTTTTTTAAACATACTAGATGTACATAAGGCAGCACAGTCTTATAATAATAGTGTCCCTATCCAGTTCAGCACAGTCAGAAGCACGATTACCACCTCTAGACTTACCAACCTTTGCTGGACTGGACGAGGCAAATTGGGATACTTTCTGGATGTCTTTTGACACTCATGTCAATTCTAAGACAACCATACCAAAGGTGACGAAGTTTACATACCTTCAAAGCTTCCTCAAAGAGGAGGCTTTGAAGGTCATAGGCAATCTGTCCCTTGATAAGGACAACTATGCTGTGGCGTTAATGGCCAACTATTACAACAAAGAACTTAGTATAGCTAATCTTTACTATCAATTGGTGGATTTAAAGCCACCTACCAGCCGACCTGACTTCCTTCAAGACTTCAGGTAAGAGGTGGAGTCGCTCATGAAAGCCCTTGGCACCAAAGTAGATAGATGTACAGGCTTCCGAATGGTCATTAAAGCTGGACACCCAAGGGAAGCTTCCTCGAGATGTCCTAGCTGAAATCAGCTCTCATTATAAGACAGACATTCATTCTCACGATGAAATCTTCGAGGGGATGAGAATGACTATAAATAGAATGAAAGCACATAATAAAATCAAACCCATTGAATAGTCATTCACTGTGAAGTCAGTGAAACCAAAGAGTTCAACCAGTACTCCTACTAAACCCAAATCATCCACCTCCACTACAAAGTGGAAATCTGGCAGTGTGGATGCCTATGCAGTGGGGTCCCTCCAAACCTACAGTTACTGTAGCACCCACGGCAGTGACTCCCAAACGTGCTGTAGGCTGGATGACATGTTTGTTCTGTAATGAAGAACATTCCATATATCACTGCCCAAATTATCCTGATGGTGCTACAAGGGGTTAAACGACTCAAGGAGTTGCACAAATGCACAAGGTGCCTACGATCACATGACACCAGGACCTGTGAGACCCAACTACGCACCTGAGGCAGGTGTAACAAAGGTCAGCATCACTCAGTACTGTGTGGAGACATAAACAAAAGTCTTCAAAACCTGCAAGATATATAGTTTAGTGACTTGTGGCACGAGTGCGGAACCGTCTGTAGCATGATCATGTGAGTCTGAGTGAACAACATATTGGATACGTTTTCCACCCACAACTGAGGATCCCTGGTTTAATATCTGGGTGAAACAAATATTTTTTATTTATATATACAAGAGTTTTTATTATATTTTAATTTTATTTATTTATTTATATATACAAGAGTTTTTATTATATTTTAATTTTATTTATATATACAAGAATTCTAACATTCTTGTACAGCCACTACCACGCGTAGCATTTCAGGGAAGTCTTTAATCCTAATTTTCCCTGGAATACGACCCTGCAAAATCGTTTAACAACCAGGTACCCATTTTACTGTTGGGTAAACAGAGGCTACAGTTAAGGATTGACAGCCAGTAAATCCTCCCCGGTCAGGATACGAACCCAGGCCAAAACACTCGCGAAATGCCAAGCGAGTGTCTTACCACTATGCCACGGGGACTGTCTTTACAAGGGCTATTACATTCTTGTAAATCCACTCGCATGCAAAGCATTTAGGGCAGATCCTTAATCTTAATTTTCCCTGGAATACAACCCGCCAAATCCTTTAACATCTAGGTACCCATTCACTGCTGGGTGAACAGAGGCGTACAGTTTAGGATTGGCACCTAGTCAATCCTTCCTGGCCAGGATTCGAACCCAGGCCAAATTGCTCGCGAAGCGCGGAGTTAGTGTTTTACCACTGCACGGCTGTGTCATACCCCAACGAAGTATGTTCACTAGCCCTGCACAACCAGCAGTGTGTTAGGGGCCAGAAGAGCCACAACCAGCAGTGTGTTAGGGGCCAGAAGAGCCACAACCAGCAGTGTGTTAGGGGCCAGAAGAGCAGAAATAATATAAAATAGTGTGTGGGCACCAAGGTGGAACATTGGGGGTGCAACAAGGAGTGTGGTATGAGGTAAATAAACAGGTGCAATAATTTAAGCGTATAACAAGTAAAATTACAAATATAAAGGCAATGGCCAATAAGAATTCAATTCCGGAAGAATAACATTGAAACTAAGTGTGTGCAAGGATGGTGTAGGCCATTAACCAGTTTCCGGTTTACAAAATGTTAGCACTCGACTAAGGGTGTCAAGAGTAGCTGGTCAATTAAAATTTTTAATGCCTGGAACGTTGTAGGTGTTAGTGTCTTTATATACAACCTCTAACTAGAAATCCAACATTCTACTTGTAACTCAATATGTATGTACTTTTACCTAATACAAATATATTTATATTTAGGCACAATTCCTTTCACTTGATACCTCTGTTCATGTAGTAGTAAATAGGTACCCGAGAGTTAGACACACGGAGAGTTCATCCTGGGAGGAAGGTGTTCAGTAGTACGACCTTGGAGATACCCTGAAGCAAGGCTAAAGTATACATATTCACACAGGCTTCGTTTCCCCAATAAAACGACTTACTTTCATTTTAGTTAAACTATTTAATGTATTAATTTGTTTATTAAAACAATTACATTTTTATATTAGGCTTACAAATCAAAATCTTAATTTTGCAACCTTTCATTTTCTTGGGTTGGTTGTGGTGGGTGAAGGGAGCGTCCAAACACCGTCGAGGTCACCTACGTCGACGGCCACAAGTATGTCCTCAACCCTCTGCCTCACACTGTCAACTCTCCGCCTTTCAGCGCCTTCAGGTGAGTTCAACGTCCTCAACATCGGACTATCAACTCACTTCCTTCAGTGCCTACAGGCGAGTTTAACGTTCCTAACCCCCCAGCATCACACTGTCGACTCTTTCAAATTCAGCGCCTAAATGTGCTCTACTCCCTACTCTCTCTCCTTTAATCTCATAAATTATATGTCAAGGCATCCAAGACAGAGTAAATTTTTTGTTTTAAAACAGAGGCTGCATAAACCTCGACACTGGTCTGCATGATGACCTGTAGTTTGTCCACTTTGCTACGTGGAGAAGGTATTTTGATCTCAGTCATGTTAATTCTACACGTCCTGGTGATTTATTCCTCCATAAACACCTAGTTAATTCCGTGGATACCTTTGTCACTTTTCTCCCCACCCGTACTGATACACGTGTCATTGCAGCCCCTTCTCAGGAAGCGGCTGACCACTTAGCCTCATTGTCCTGCATTGGGGAGACCCCTGTTCGGATCTCCAAAAATGCCCAGTTAAATGCCAGCATCTATCCTCCAGATTGATACGTTCACTCGACTCCCTCGTGGTCGTCATCGTCAGCTTCTTTGCATAGTGAAGATCACTTTTGATAGTAGGTCCCTCCCATCTTCTGTAATTCTTGCTGGTGCCAGATGCTCCGTTCAGGGGTACATCCCCTCTCCTTGCCTCTGCAATAGGTGCTGGAGATTTGGGCATGGTCCCTCCAAATGCATGAGTGCGGTGTCTCTATTCCGTTGTGTGGAGTCTTGGGCCATTCTAAGACACAGTTCCCTTCTTCTCAAGCTCACTGCATCAATTGCAGTGATGCCTACCCTACCTTCTCTCACCAACCTGTCTTCTAACAAATTACATCTGAATTTGGCCGTTTGCCCATATGGCTGAAAATAGACATAATTTGAAGATGAAAAAATAATTGAAATAAATTATTGATTTTTTCTTCAAAACAGCAAATTAAGGGTCCTCTAGTAAGTTAGGAGGGAAGGACGTTCTCCTAAGGTTTCAAAACATCATGAAAACCGTTAATTGAAACTTCCTCTCCCAACCCAACCGAGTAAACCAGAGGACTCAAACAGAAAACGGGACAGTACATCTCTTTCGTGAGCCGATTTCATTTCAAATTATGCCCATTTTTGGTCACAGCATGCATACAAGTGAAAAGCAATGTTATTTTAAGAAGATGGGTTGCTCCAACGCATGTGTGCACTACATATTTGATGAAGCCATCCTCAATTTGAAACATTGCAATCATTTAGCTTTTTCCTGAGGCGAGACACCAGGTACGCCGTCTTTCCTCTTTCTCTGGCATGTCTTATGCTCGTGTGTTGCGTTAAAACTTCTCCTCGCCCTCTCCCGCTTTCTCAGATTCGCGACTGATTCCAGGCCTTGGACCTGGACACCTCCACCTCACCTACTCCTTTGCACTCTGAGCCAAAGGGTCTTCCTCCTGGTTCTCCATCTGGTGTTTCCTTCCTTCCTTCTCAGTCTTCCTCATCTCCTATGCCCTCTTCCCCTTCTCGGCCCTCCCCTGTGTCTTTTGGTCCTCCACACTGCCTGTCCATCCTCCTCCTCCCAGCAATCTTCATGTTGACCGCTCCCATTCTCCTTCTGTTTACCCTATAGAACCTGTCGCACAGTACATTGCTGCTGGTATGCCTGTCTCTGTCAGAAACGTAAGCCTGACTCCTCTCCTTCCTCCCCTGCGGGTAAGAAGGCAGCGCTCAGAAACGTAAGCCTGACTCCTCTCCTTCCTCCCCTGCGGGTAAGAAGGCAGCGCTCTATTTCGCACCTTCCGACTCGGACAAACTTTGCTTACCCTCCCATTTCTCTGGTCCACCCTACTCTTTCCTTAACTCCATCATCTTACTAAATTTACCTCTGTCCCATAACTCAATTTCACTGATCCTGATTCGGATCTTACTTAGTATAGTGTGTTCTTCTTTGCCTTTGTTTCTCCCTTCTTCTCTGTTTCAGTTCCCTCTGTTTTTGACAATGTCTATTCTTCTCTGGAATATTCATGGATTTTATGCCAACTTCCACAAACTCCGACTTCTAATCACACAGTTTTCACTGCTTTGTTTTTGTCTCCAGGTGATGATGTCACCGACGATGTTTGGCGCTCGTCCTGGTCACTTCTGCAGTTATTCATTTCTCTTCCTCCCCCCCCCCCCCTCCCCGGCTTTAGCTGATTCCTATAACTCAACTGCTCTCTTGATTCGTATTAATATTCCCTGCATCCCCTTACTGTTCTTGTCACACATTCGGTGTTCTGCAGCCCATATCTTTGTTTGTAAATGGTATACAGTCTGTTCCAATTATCTTCCCCCCCCAATGTCCCACTTTCTCTTCCTGATCTTAAACACCTTCAGACTCCTTACCTGAGCCTGTGTTTCTTTTGGGTGATTTTAACTGTCGGCATATTCACTGGGGAGATGTGACGAACACCGATGGACGCCTTCTTGAACCATTTGTCCTCTCTTCTTCTGTCTCTTCTGAATTATGGTGCAGCCACTCATGTTGACTCACGCACTCACATCCTCTCCTGTCTTGATCTTTCTCTCTCTGCTCGTCTTCTCTTTATTTAGATTTCACTTGGCGGGTTCTTGACGACCTCCATAACAGTGACCATTTCTCCATCCTTATCACCTCTTTTCACCCTCCCCTCTCCTTCTCTAGGTGGTAGTTTACCAAGGTTGACTGGAATCTCTTCACCCTACATGCTACTCTTTCCGATCTCTCCAATCTGCCTCTCCCTCGAGCCCTCCTTTTTCATGACACCATATTAGACATAGTCCTCTGCTCTGTTCCTCGCTCTACTTCTCGGGGTGCACCGAAGTGTGTTTCCTGGTGGAATGCAGATTGTGCTCGGGCTGTCTGCAGTAAGCGTACAGCCTGGAAGAAACATCAACTCCGCCAGACGGCTACTTCTTTTGTTTTGTTTTGGAAGGCGAGTGAGGAGACCTGTAGTGTCATCCGTACGGCTAAATGTGAGAGTTGGAAATCTTATGCCTCCACCATTACGACTGACACTCGTCTGCCCCAGATCTGGAAAAAAATCCGTAAGATAGCGGATAAGTTTGGTCCAGATGTCTCAGCAGTTATTCAGCTCTGTTGTTCTATTGTGGCGGATCCAGTGTCTGTCACGACCGAACTGGGTTCCCACTTTTCTATTAGCTCCGTTTCTCATCTTCCTCCATATTTCCAGACTCTTAAGCCCCTTCTTGAATCTTGGCCATTAGATTTTCGCACACATCTCCAGCATCCCTATAACAGTCCCTTCTCTCTCTCAGACCTCCAGTCTGCCCTGACACTCTGCGGTTTTATGTCAGGGAGCTCAGATGGCATTTATTTATTTATATTTATTTATATATGCAAGAGTTCATACATTCTTGTACAGCCACTAGCACGCATAGCATTTCGGGCAAGTCCTTAATCCAAATTTTCACTCACACACCTATCCCCAGGAAGCAGCCCATAGCAGCTATCTAACTCTTAGGTACCTATTTACTGCTAGCTGAACAGGCACATCAGGGTGAAAGAAAATCTGCCCCTTTGTTTCCGCCTCCGCCAGGGATCGAACCCAGACCCTTGGGACTACGAACACCGAGCGCTGCCCACTCAGCCGTCAGGCCCCAGTCAGGCATTCATTATGAAATGCTTTGCCATTTCCTTCCATTTACGTTTCAGTATTTACTGAATATGTATAACCGTATCTGAGAGTCGTCGTCAGCGTCTGAGGACTGGCTTCAGGCGGTTGTTCATCCTAGTTGGAAACCAGGTTCTATAGGCTCATCCCCTAAGGACTTCCGGCCCATTGCCCTCACGAGTGGCTTCTGAAAACTCTTTGAACATATGGTCAATGTCCGTCTGATGTGGTTTTTGGAACACTATCACCACCTCTCCCCTTCTAAATTTGGCTTTCCTAAGTGTCGCAGCACGACTGGTGTCAGGTGAACTTAGAGGTCTATATTCGTAGTGCTTTTGCTGCGAAGACCTCCGTTGTTGCCGTCCTTTTTGACCTGAAGAAGGCTTTCGACACCACTTGGCGGTATCATATTCTGTCCCAACTTCATTCTTTTGGCCTTCGTGGGAATCTCCCTCTCTTCCTCCAAAGCTTCCTCTCTTGTCGTTCCTTTCGAGTGAGGCTTGGTACCACTCTCTCTGCCTTTTTTAGGCAGTATGAGGGTGTACCCTTTGGTAGTGTTATGAGCACTACTCTTTTTCTAGTTGCCCTCAATGGTCTTCCTTCCTCTCTTCCTTCTGACGTCTTCTCCAGTCTCTATGTTGACGATCTTACCCTTTGCTGTCAGGGTGATGATTCGCCTTTCCTCCAACGGCGGCTCAACTTGCGATTAATGCCGTGTCGTTTTGGGCCACCACTCATGGCTTCAAGTTCTCTGCAGTTAAGACTTGTGTTATGACTTTCACTCGGAAGCAGGTAGTTCTTCGTCCCCCTTTGTCACTTTATGGTAATACACTTTTGTACAAAGATTCTGCTAAACTTTTGGGGTTAATCTTTGACGCTAGTTTGTCTTGGTCATCTCATATCTCTTATCTCCAAGTTGAATGCTTTAAGGCTCTTAACTCACTTCCTGGGAAGCTGATAGGAGCACGCTCCTCTCTTTACATTCCTCTCATGTGCTGTCTAAACTCGATTAGGATTGTCCTGCTTACTCGTCTGCTACTCCTTCTACTCTTCGCCGTCTTGATGCTCTAGACCATACTGGGTTATATCTCAGCTCTGGTGTCTTTCTCTGTACGGTTGTCTCGCTTGCAAGGTTCTCTTTCGGTTAGTGTTACCAATATTTTTTTTCTTGTCGTTCCATCCTTGCCCCCATGGAGGGTCCCACTTCCTAAGTTTTGTAAAACATTGATCCACGTGACTAAAGCTTTTACCCCTCCTACAGTTCTGAAATGCCTTTTCCTTGCACACTTTTCTTCACACTCCCACTCCATTTCCGTCTTCACCGATGGGTCTAAATCTGCAGACGGTGTAGGCTACTCTCTT